ACTATGTTCACCCTTTGGGATGGTGGCTATTTGGCATACTCATTAATACGTTTAGTATATTTAATATGAAGACTAGAACCTTCACTGTCTGTTTTTGTTTTCTTTCTGTATGTTGTAAAAAACTGTGTAGGACAGATGCACCCTAACCAACCTGTTGAAGATGTTTAGATGTGGAGAACGTTGGGTGGTGGAGAATAGTTACCAGATTCATATAAAATCCTCCTGTGCCATTTTTAAGATAATTCTATACATGATTTTAAATTAATATACTTTTCTACTATGAATCATTGCTAACTATGGATACCATGTGAATTACTGCAGATTGTGAGAATGAAGTATGTGACTTAAACCTAGAAGTAAAAAAGTCACTGCAGATCATAAACAGAAAGCCTTTGTACTGTGCAGGAGTCTCTTTACAACATTGACCATGATTATATTTCATTTTTCAACAAGAGTTCATTTAGTAGTACAGTGTTGCCTAAGGGGCCCAGAGTAATAGTGCAGTCTGTACTTAGACAAAGTTTTGAACAGTTCAGAAGGAGGACAGACGCATACAAACTCCATTCTACATGAGCACTCTCTGTTTGTGTAAACATTTTTAAGTGTCCCCTTTCCAATAAATCTTGTAAAGTTTTTCTCATGATTCCCTGCCTTATCAGATTTTCTCATCATAGCTGAAACATTTTCCATTTGACTAGATGGGACTCAGGTCTGCAAAAATACTGAATTTCATTTATTATAGTGTGAAAGCTAGACTGTATAATGCAAAGTAAAAGAAATCAGTGATTATTCCTTCCATTTACAATGTTCAGGACAAAGTGCTGATGCTTATCAGCTAACCAAAATGGTACCATCTGTACATAAGAGTGAAAAATCAGGATGCTGAAAGGGTTTGCAGGTGCACACGATCAAATCAAAATCAACACCAAAAAATGAGTTTAAATAAATGTCCTCTGAACAACAATAATTCCTGTTGGGGGAATGGAAGCTGACATGACTGTCCCTCTTCCCGTGAGGATGCTTTCCTGGCCTCAGTAGCCTTTCCACCCAAGAACGGAGTACCTGAAAATTCATATTAGATCAGCTGATAGTCAACTAATTCATCACAGCTGTCAGCCAGCTTCCCCAGCAAAAGATCTGGTATATATTGGGCTGGTGCACTTCCTGAGGTAAGAAGAGTTGGGGAGCCTCCTATTGGAGAAGGAAAAGCTTTGAAATGTTTCCCTAACTCACATGTGTATGTGCTCATGCACACTCACACACCAACTTACAGGTCACAAAATATTGTGTTTTTTTTAACTGAGTAACATTTTGTCTTGCTTTAGTTAGCATTCAAAGTAGAGGTGCTCAAATAGTCACTCTTACTTGGATCACTAAAAGCAGAACAAAGTGGGTGCACACCATCCCCTTATCTTGCTTCTGCTTGCTCCTTTCCTGTGTAGCACCCCTTTCACACACCTGTCAGCACCCATGATCTTGTGCTAACAAAGGCCCCAATCTGCAAACAGGTAATGATGAGCAAACAATTAAACACCACTGAAATCCACTGGAGCAAGAGTATTTTCAGAATAGGCCTCTGTTTGTCCCAGGCCACCTGCTTTTTGGTCAGCAGTTTCCTTAAATTTGTCTGTTGAGATCATTGTTGTCATATCAGCAGTGATGTCAGCAGGACCTTAAAAATTGTTCAGTTTTGTTCCCACATAGTCGCAGGGATTCTCAAGTTTTTGAACAAAATGTGCATAAATACCTGAATATTTAGAGACGTATTTTGAAGTAGAGATATTAATTGATCCCATCTTGCACTACTTCTTTGCTAGGTTATATGTGTTTTACTATAAAAAGAAAGACAAGAAAAAATATCATGATTATTAAGTGACATGAGTTACAACACAGACAACCATCTTAACCCTTCTGTCTTTCTGCCAATTTTGTTGTTACTTTACATGTAAATGAAAGTTTTATAAACTTTCATTTACATGTAAAGTTACCACCCCATTCCTATACTAGGTATTTATTATAGCAATTAAAGATTACCCACATTTTGAACGAGCTTCTAGTTTAAATTCTTAAGTAAATAGTTTTACCAGTCTTATCTTTTGTCGCTGCCCCTCAGGATTGTTTAGAAAGCAAAATTCTCAAATACGGATTTTTATTCTGCCAAATATAATTTGCCTAACACCACTATAATCTTCTGTAATACTACATAACCAGGTAATAGAAATAAAATGTTCCTTATTTTGCCTATTCAGAATTTAGTCCCTCATGTTGCATAGTGAGATCCTAAGCATTTGAGCAAGCATAGTTGCTTATACTAGTATATATTCCCTAGCAAAAGGCCATAATGTTATTATCACACTCTGTGTAGCAGGATCAGGCTGTAGCATTTTTCCTTCCTGCTCTCAACATCCTGTTAAGATTCATCAGTCAGTAGTCATCAGTCAGCCAGTTTCATTTCTCTTTCTTGCCCCTGTCATTGTAACTTCCACCATGCAGTTTTGTTGTACCTTCTCCTCTCCATTGTTATGTTCATTCCCTTATTGAAGCACAGTGTTTTGTTATTGGTTTCCTGACATCTCATGATGAAGGAAGGAAGGAACTTTATGAACTTTTCTTGGCTCTCTTTGCTTCTCAGACTCTAAACTTTATAGGCATACCTACAAATTTAAACATGATTTCTTGATGATTTGTTCTCTCTCTTTGGTGATGTTTTTGGGTCATAAAATACTGAAAACAAACAATGACCTTATCTAAAAGGAAATGGGCAAACAGCCCAGAATATCCAAATGGAATATCTAAACAGCCAATGTTTTCCACTTCTGTGTTAAGCATTTAAGGATATGCATTGCTGTATGGCAGTGTTAACATTCAGTGTCATTTTAGCCTATCAAATATTTTATCTTAAATGTGTCCAAGAAAAAGAATGTACTTTATCACTGCATTACTTGGCATTAAAACAAAGATCAGTGGAAAGGTAATTTCTTCATGCCTAGTCTGGAGTACTTCTTCACTGTTTTGGAATCTGATTTGGTGCAGGGCAGTATGTAAACTTTGTAAATAACTAAAATAAATATTTGCTATTTCTATTGGAAAAGAGCATTTGGCATCATTTCCTTGTTGGTAGCATTCACTTGCCTTGTATTTTTCTTGAGAATTTACAGGGGTCAGTGGATGGCATTGAAACAGTGCTTGGTTGATCCACAGAGTGCTATCTAATGCCTAGTCAGATCATTAGTCTACGTAACTCAGTATAGAAGGCTTTTCTAGCTCTGTGATGCCAGGGGATACCAGGGATTGAGACTGGGACCACCTGCATGTAAAACATGTGTTCTACCACTGAGATAATGTCCCTCACCAAAGGAAGTTCCAGCAAGGCAATTCTTGCATTTGTTGATGGCATGTGTAGGTAGGAATGTAAAACTCAGTTAAATTTCTGGATTGGTTGTATTTGTTCAAATCTTGTTCTCCTCTTTCAGCTCCTCTTTTAAAAGCAATAGAACACAGACTCCTAGAAACTCCAAGGGCTTCCTTCTTGCATCCAGAAAGAGTGTTTAGGATTACTAGTTAGTGCCCTCAAGAAGGAATGCTTCAATCATCTTTGGCCCATGTACCCATGACATTAATTGAATGATTGCAATTAATGTGCACATTTTAAAATAGCAGCATTTTAAAATTGCCCCATCTGTGCAACCTTGGCACTTTGTTGGGCAGGGAGGGATAATTTAGTCTTTCTTTCCTTGCCAGTGCCCTGGAAAAATCACTTATCTAAAGCTGTTGTTTACATTTCAAGGGAAGCTGGCATGGTACCAATACAGTGGTACCTTGGCTCACAAATGCCTCAGTTCATGACCATATTGGATCGCAAACAGAAATTTCAGAAAAAAAATGCCTCAGGTTGTGAACTCCTCATTGGGTGGCGATCGCGTCTGTCTTCCCTGTACAAGCGCGACCACGGCCATCTCCCCCCTCCCTCCCGAGCACAACCGCAGTCACACTTGTATAGGGAAGACAGGCACGCTTGCAGTTGTGCTGGGGGGGGGGGGGAGATGGCCGTGATCTTTGTTGTTCTTTGTTACTTTGTTATTCTTTGTCACTTTGTTTCAAATTTTTGTGATAAAAAAAATGGTTACAGAACAGATTAACCTTATTTACATTGATCCTTATGGAGAAAATTGACTTGGCTCACAACCAATTTGGGTCACGACCAGAGTCGTGGAACAGATTAAGTTCGTGAGCCAAGGTCCCACTGTACCTCAGATCCATATTTTGTGTTTATGGTAGGGTAGCTCTGGCAAGTGGCAACTTGTTAATGTTTGATCTTCAAACAGCACTATAGACTTAAATCTGAAGAGAGTTTTAGGGTAACCCCAAGTAAAATCACATAAATTCAACAGGATGTTCCATTCTATGTAGGATCCATTTTTTACCCAGACCCCCTGGAGAACCAGGGTGTGGACTTGAGGTGCTTTCTGTGCGAGAAGGAAGGAGCAACGAGGGGAGATGAATAGCAGAACCCACAGCACTTTCACAGAATTTTATAGGAGTCTAAAAAGAGTGAGGCCCATATGCTTCATGTCATGAATGAAACTGCAATCACTTAATATTACAAATTATACTAAATAAGTAGCCACAAACTTCGCAGTTTATTATAGTCTCATTTTCTTGATCTAACCAGTAGGTGCAGCAAACATTTTAGTCATAATCTATTGTATCTGTAGTTGAATTATTTTGTAACTCCAAATTTATTTCAGTCTTATTAGCTTATTACATATAATGGCTGTTTGTTTTATTATTGTGTTTTAGTAACAATAACAGAAAAAATGCAAGTTACTAAAAATATGGTGTTCAAAATTACAAAATGCATTTAGTAAATTGCTTTCATGTGTTAAGATTAAAAGAAAGTACTAGCTCCCCTGCACATTTTTAGTAATGTCCCCCCATCAGCTACTCTTACCCCTCTTCCCTATTTACACTGTTTTACCCTGTGCTATATCTTGATTTTCCTATATCTTTGATTTTTCCATCTGTATAATACAGATTTCTTTATCTTTTATTGGTGAAAGAAGATGATTGGGATGGGCAGAATGCTAAAATTTACATTTACAATATTTAATATGATGTATAAAAATTAAACTAGTGATCATGCTGATAGTACCTTTTTCTTTCTGTTTTCTAGATGCAGCAGTTGTTTCATGAAAACTACGAACACAACCGGAAGGGTTATATACAGGATCTTCACAATAGCAAAATTCACACTGCAATTACACTTCATCCAAATAAAAGACCAGCCTATCAGTACAGGCTTCACAATTACATATTGACCCGTAAAATTTCAGAATTGCGTTACCGTACCATCCAGCTTCACAGGGAGAGTGCTCTCATGAGCAAACTCAGTAATGATGAAATGAGCAAAGATGATCAACTTCTAGGAATGATGCCATCTTTCAACCGTTTTCAGCCACACGATAGGAATGAGGTGATTGAATGGGACTTTCTGACAGGAAAGCTCCTTTACTCTGTGGCTGAGAACCAGCCACCTAGACAGAGCATAAATAGTATCCTCCGGGCAGCATTGGATGACACTATTATGCAGGTAATGGAAATAATCAATGAAAACTCCAAATCTAGGGGAAGGCTTATTGACTTCAATGAAATACAGTATGGGTACCGCAGGGTCGACCCTTTGCATGGTGTGGAATACATTCTGGATTTGCTTCTTTTATATAAAAGGCACAAAGGAAGAAAAGTTACTGTTCCAGTTCGACGGCATGCCTACCTTCAACAATTATTTAGTAAACCATTTTTCAAGGAGGAGGAAGAACTGAATGTAAGAAGCCTTGTAGAAAATGTAAATGGTGACACACCGTCTTTCTCCTTTCTTTCCAACTCCCTGAAGATTTTTTCATCATTCCAAGGCACCAAAGAAATTGGAGGAGGCAGTGACAAGAAGATTCACATTCTTGTCCCTCTCACGGGGAGGTACGATATTTTCCTAAGATTTATGGAAAATTTTGAAAAGACTTGTCTTATGTCTAAGCAAAACGTAAAGCTGGCAGTCATTCTTTTTAACTCTGATTCTGGTCAGGATTCCAGCAAACACACAGAGCTGATCAATGAATACCATAAAAAGTATCCTATGGCAGACATGACTGTTATTCCTATGACAGGAGCTTTCTCTAGAGGTTTGGGACTTGAAACAGCCTCCTCCCAGTTTGATAATAACACTTTGCTGCTATTCTGTGATGTTGATCTGATATTTACTCCCGATTTTCTTCAGCGATGTAGAGCGAACACCATTCAAGGACAACAAGTTTATTATCCTATTATTTTCAGCCAGTATGACCCCAAAATAACATATGGAGGCAACCCTCCAGTGGACAGTAACTTCGTTTTCACAAAGAAAACTGGGTTTTGGAGGGACTATGGGTTTGGGATTACTTGCATTTACAAAAGTGACCTTGTGAGTGCTGGTGGATTCGATACCTCAATTCAAGGCTGGGGACTTGAGGATGTAGACCTTTTTACTAAAGTAATAACTTCTGGATTGAAGGCATTCAGAAGCCAAGAAGTGGGTGTTGTACATGTTTTCCATCCAGTTCATTGTGATCCCAACCTAGATCCTAGACAATACAAGATGTGCTTGGGGTCCAAAGCAAGTACAGTCGCCTCTGCCATGCAACTAGCTGAAATATGGCTAGAAAAACATTTAGGAGTCAGGTATAATCGAACTCTGTCCTGACACTCTAACTTACTCTGCCTTCTTAGGGGAGTTTACCTCATTACTTTTTCCTTCCATTGTTGCATTCTTAAACTCCTCCTTGTCTTCCAAAGGATGTGTCTTTGACCTCGAATGAACAGAGTCTGCTGTCAGGAACATGACAGATTCCTACTGAACTGATTAGTTGTGGTGTCTTTCTTTTCTCTTTGATCTATAAACTGAGTGAAACCATGGCAATCAAACAGTCCCTCGGAGCACATCCATCATGAGGACTGCATCAGAAGTATGTTCTCTCCGAGCTTTAGGATGCAATATCAATCTTGATTGTGTCTGTCAAACTTAATGTGATACAATTTTTTTTTCTGCTGAAGGTACCACAAAAGTGCTTTATGCTTCCTCTGGGAAAGAGACTCAGACAAACTTGAGTTTTATAATTTATATGAGAACTGAAATAAACAATATTATCTTCATCTTTATAATTTTTAAGTAAACAAATAACTGACTGTCTCTATTAAAGAAGAGGGGGAAACACAAAAGTTGAGGGTTTTCTTTCTAAGTGCAATGGTACTGGCTACCAAGAACCTTTAAAATTATTAAAATGACCTCGTCATTACTGTCCGCTCTAGATGCAATTGGGCTGTGTTTTATCAAGGAAAAATGACTTCAATAGCATATGTTGAAAAGGTTTCTGAACCAATGTCCTTCATTTGCTGGCAAAAAGAAAAACGTGATATAATGGTTATTTATAATAAACCTAAAGACATACCATATTTTTTTTCAAAAGAGAAAAATATGTTGCTTTGTCTCTGTTGTTTAGAATGAGTCTCTAATATATAAATAATTTTCTATTTTATTCCTTTCATAAGACTGCACTTGATACTAAGGGAAATAAAAGGGTACTTAATATTGTCTTTTTATAATTGTGAATTAATATTGATATTCTAAACCAATCATTGTTAAACTTAAAAAATGTAATTATTTAACTATGAAATGACTATTGCTGGTCAAAGTTCTTGCCAATATATTTATATTAGTGAAGATTTATAGGCAATTGAATTGTTAAGACTTCTCTCTGTTTAGAGTCCAAAAATGTCATTAAGTGTATTGGTGGAATATTGAAAGGAAAATCAACATTAGAAATTAAGATGTTTAGTTTGTTTCCAAGTGTGTGTGTGCGCGCGCACATGTGGTAAAAGGGAAGGCATAGACATTTCAAACCATAAGCACATTATAGTACAAGTAGTAATTTCTTTCCCAAGTTCCATTTAATTGCATTTTGACCTACCAGTAGAATATTTTATAGGAAAATGATGCAAAAGAATTCAGAGGACATATCCAAAAAGTAGAAATTCAGATAAATATTTAACAGAATTCAATTGACATCGGAGTATGTGGCAGGAAAAGCTGAGCAAATACATTTGTGGGTTGTTAAGGAAAGAAAATCTTATGCTATGTGTTCACATTCATCATATGTATCTCTTTTGGGTATGATAGTCTCTGAATATATTTCCATGAGCTTCCAGGAGACAGTGCATCAGCCTTGAATCAGCTCATAGGACTTGAAGGCAGAAGAATCCCTTAGGCATTAAACTCGCCTTCTGCTCAAAATTAGTTTAGAAATGGCAGAACTAAAACACCTCCCTGACCATCATATAACAGAATTTAGATTTCATTAAGCCAGTATAACCTGTAAGCAAAGAGCTATCTTGCAATCAAGGTGAAACTCGTGGTAGAGGGCATTGATGGGGAAAGGTTTGAAAGGAAAAACAGGATTGTTTCCCCTTCTGAACAATAAAATGAGATTACTGAAGTGTTCCCTGCCATACTTTAAACAACCTTCTAAAGTCATATGAGCCCCATTTGCCAATATTTTTTTTCCCTGTATGTGATTTCTACCTTCCCCCTTCATTTATAAAAACGTTTCTGTTTACTGTACTACACGTGCATGTTCAGAGTCCACAGCCATTTGGGCACGTGTAAATTCCATCAAAAGTACAGCGTGTGCTATTTCCACACCCATTAGACCTTTCTCCCTGAGTAGCACCAAATACTAGCAGTTCCTGTATTTTTAAGTCTTGTGACTAGGCATAGCATTTTATTGCCCTGTATTATGTTATCCTGCCAAGCACAACCAAGGTTTGAAATTCATAAACTTTGCCATCTAAAGATGATTTTTAAACATGTCATTTAACTGTGTACAGGATTTATAGAAATTAAGCTGTCACTGGTAATTTCAGCAGAAGAAACACCTGAATTTTTGTCTTAACTGCTCCTTGATACAACTGATAAACATCTGTGCTTGCCCTTGAACTAAATTAGCACTGTTTGCTCAGACTACAGAAGAGAACACAGATTGAACTTGATGACTGCGGAGGGAATTCTGTGTATAGAGGACTTGCCGGATCGGGTCCTATGTGAGAAAAAAAATGTTAGTTCTTACTATTTAGAGATATTTATTTAGTGTATGACCAATTCATTTGTTTATATGATGGATTACTTTGTTACAAACAGGATTATAAATGTTTGTTATAAAATATTGCATTGTCTTTGGAATAACTGTTCTCACATAAACTGTGTTAGCTAATTTGTGGTACGAGATCCCTTCTAATGAGGCCATAGTCACAGTGGGGTTTTGCCATGCTGAAGCCCTGTTGAGCTGAGGACATGTGCAAAAAGATTCACAACTGTTGTTCTCAGCTGAGGTTCCTGGTGAACTACAGATGGACTCCTGATCAATTGTGCTGAGTATTAAAAAACACAAAAACATTTTATTTGTGACTGTATGTAGCAAAATAGCATTTCTTTTATATATGCCCCCTTTCATCTAAACTTACATTCAAGCATCATTGTTTATGTTTCTAAAGATCAGTGATCTTTTGATCAGTGACACTATAAGTGCTAATAGCCAATTTATCTAGACATACTCGAGGTGAACCAAAGTGGTTTCTTACATTAATTTATATTTGAAAAGTGAAGTAGTTTTGCCTTTGCTGAATGCCAGATAATTTTCATGGCTGTTTAAGTAGCAGTATGTCTAACAAAGGATGGAGTGATATTTTAAAATTGCTCTTCAACAACCATACATGCATCAAGAACGTTGAAGTTAGTCAACCATATTAATTTCAACTATCCAGTACAGTGCAGAAATTATACAAGAGACACAATGGTGGAACAAAAGTGTTTTCTTCTCTTTTTGGAATATGACAACTAAGACGCACTGTATTGTGCAACTTGATGTTCTATTTCAAGGCAGTGGCCATAAATAGCTGCATATAAAAAAGAGGGTGACCCCCGTATACATCTTCATCTCATTGCTTTTGGGTTACAGATACCTGTCCAGATACACGCCCCTGAAAGCAGTGAATATGTTTTTAAGATTAAAATACTAAAACTTGTCAGGATAAGGGTTGATTTTCTTTTCTTCTGCTTTTCAAGGTTCTGTGTGCCTCATACTGTCCTTTCTTTCTAACCAGTTAATATTATATGTATATTTCATGAATACAAGCCTCCTCACTCTCCCCTCCAAAATAGGCACATGTTTATCTAAAGGGTTTAGAAAGAGCGGACAAAATGGGGAAATCCACATCATTTAAAATGTTTTCCTTTGGATACTTTCAAGGTTTCACAAGTTGTAAAAAAATAATATTTTCCCACACATTTTTGAACTGTTTGATGCCATTGTTTTGTACTTTTAAAAACTACTTTCCCCTTTAATTCTTCTTAAGTTTCTCCTCCACTATGTTACAACAGCCAGTCAGGGGTCATATTGGACATAGCATGGAGCCATGCAGCCAATCAAAGTTGACTACACGGTGATTTCAGTGATGGCAAACTAAGCTGCATTGCCTCAACACTGAATTGCTGGTCCAGTTCTGATTGCATCAAAGAACATCCATACTTGGCTACCTACTTCAACATTTATCCAATAAAAAAATTGAGGTGAAGTCCATTTTTGTCATTACAGTGTGTTGTTTTCATCATTAAACATGGCAAACCCAGTTCTTGTCTTTCCAATGTTTGAAGTCAACTGGCCTGATCAGTTTGTCCCTGTGAATGCACTAGCACCCTTGTGAAGGCTTTTCTCTGACAAATAAAAAAAAAACCCTTTCCAGATTTTTGGTCTCCAAGAAAACATTTATGTAATCCACACATAGCTCAGCACAGCCTCAGTTCAAATTGCAAGATAGATGATGCCAAAATTAGCTCTTACAGCTAGTATGTAACACGGTAAATCCATTTTCCTTTTCTTAACTGTATCCATAAAGGTGCAATTGATTAGAATTGATTTAGAAACAAAGACATTTTGATGAGAAAATTGGAACAGCCCTTTCTTTCCCTCTCCTTAAGTTCTTTCCTCCCACTCATTCCATCACCCCCTCCACCACGTTATTAACATTTAATCTTGCTTGCTTTTATCATTCCTTCCTTCCTTCACCTCAAACATAATGTGCAAGTTTTTTTTAAAGGAATGCTGTGAGCTACTAGACTTCATGAAATTAATATCCATGACAATGCTTCAATGCTGCCTAGCATCCCAGTGGATGCAAATATTTAATGAGAAAATGTAGTATCACGTAGTCTAAACTTTTCCTGAACGTTGCAGTAATGAAAGCTTGAAATGGTTTTCAGGTAAAGAGCCTGCCTGAATACTGGCCACATGTCCCCCCTTTCATATAGGATCTCAATTTTTAACATGGAATTGCATTGTGGTTACTTTTGAAGTTAGTAGAACACTTAGTATGATGATGGCATTTTACATAGCTTAACTCATCATGAGATCAGCCCAGGATCCACCTTGCTCAAAAGGAAGGGATCTAATGTCCTTCCACATGATGTGTTTCAGATATCCAATTCTCTGTTCAGCACAGCTCACCCATCAAGCATGGTCCATGTTCAGTGACAAGAGGGGCTGCCTTGGGAGGGAAAGCGTATGGAAACACAGCATGGTTGATCCAATATAAATCTGAAAATTAAGATTCCTCCACCATTGAATAAAGCACACATCAAGAAAGGGAGTTGCGTGCAGAATGAAAATTTAGATGAACTTCTATGCGCAGCACTATTGTTTAATCTTCCATTATTCCATGACCATTATTCTAACACAGACGAAATAAGTGCCTATTTTATGTGATAGTCACATCCATTTGCCCCACTGCTCCCACTCTGATGGCTTTGAACTATATAACAAAGGCTAGGCTTGTGGGCAGGCTTTTAAAGTTATGTTTTTTGTTCACTGCACTGTGTGCCGTTTTGGTGGAAAAGCAGAATATAAATAAACAAGAATGGATTTTTAAACATTTGTATTTTAACAAGTCACAAAATCAGCATGGAATGATGACAATAACAATATCAAAACTTCTTTTTTGATATGCTGCACAATTATGGGAGGAAATGGAAGAGTACCTTAAATAAATTCATATAGCCTGCTTCCATATTCTCTAATTTTACCTAAATCATTAAAAGAGGAGCAATGGAAGGCTGAGTGCCCCCTGCCTCTTTGTAATTTAAGCACTGTTTTGAAAATGTCTCACTGGATAAAATTTAATATAGAACAAAATTGTTTATTTTCAATAACTGAAACATTCACATTAAAGGACCCTTTCAAGCAGAATGTATCATATTTACTAAATTTTCCTTCATTCTGTTCTACCACCTTCTAGTTACTTGTGTCATTATGTAGTTTTCCATGACTCACACTTTCAGTACCACATTCCCAGTTTTTCTTCCTTTCTGGCCTTTGCTTGCTTTGGTTTTGCCACAAACTTTGACTGAAACCATAATTCTGGCCTTGGTTTAATGACTTTGCTGCCATATAAAGTGCTGAATTAGCACACTACTGAATTAGTGCTATTGCAGATAGTTTCCATTTGCTAGCCATCATAGTTTAAAATTCTCATGAATGTTATTACTTCATCCCATCATTTCCTTATTCAGCCAGAATTCCTAATAAGGCAAGGAAACCAAATACTCTGACTTGTCTTTTAGAAGTAGGAAAGAAATGCTGTCAGTTGAGACATTCACAACCTGGAGCAGCAACGTCAGTATTTGCTATCCTAATAAAATGAACAACAGTTCATTTAACTGAATGTTAAAACTAAAAAAGGGAAGACTTGCCCATCACCAGAATAGGGAAGCACAGGCCAGTCTAATAACAATCCATGTTTTGCAAGTGGTGACCTTTTCTGCATTAATGTCTAGTTTTTAAAAGAAATTCTTATGAACATTCATTTAAACTATGCATGTAAATGAAAATTTTGCATGTATTTCCACATAAATGCATATTTATAAATATAGGACTATATACTACTCTGTCCATGTGCTGGTAGGACTTACTGCTAGAACAAAAGGGAGCCAGAAGTCTTTCAAGCACCAGGAAGTAAGCAGAAAAAGTTATTTCTAGAATCAGGAAGGGCAGTGGAGCTCCCAGAGCTTGATTGTCTTGTCCTAATCCTGAAACAGATGTTTTTGCTCGTTTCTTGACTTGCTTTAGTCAGCGCTAACTCCTCATTCCACCAGAGGTGGATTCTTCTCATGCAACAGGATGAGTAAAAGCACCACAGGTGTACTGGCTGCCCACAATTTATCAAAATGCAAACATTCTCGAAATGCCTATCCTAAAACATCTGCTTTTCTTGGAACCAAAAAATGCCCTGCAGACATTTGGAGAAATGTGAAATCTGAAGGCTAAATGTGCTCCATGCCTTTTTCTGGGAGATGCTGATCAAGTTAGTTCACACTGAATATTGGAAAGATCTAATTCAGCAAGCTTTCCTACCCAATGTTATGTTGAGAGGTTTTCTGGCATAGGCTGAGAATCATGGATACAAGTCCTAAGGAAAAATTGAAGCGACGAATCTCAGAATTCCTCACATAGTCCCTTAAATCATGGCTATCCATATTTGCAAAACCATTGACTTCCTCAGCGATCATACTAAATGTGCCATATATATCATTTCCACGTGGTGCCCCCATGTGCAAAGCTGATATTCCTGATGTGAAAGATACCAGCTGCAATCTAGCAGTCGCCCTGATAAAATGCATGCCAGAACTCATCATGCGGTGCTGCATTCAAGTAAAATCAGGAGAGTTGGACCAGTAAGCTAGTTTATCCTTGTCCCACTGCATGAGGAAACATGAGGACCAGACCAGATGTGTTCGTAGTGCAGTCTTTCCCAGCCTGGTGCCTTCCAAATGTGTTGGACTACGCCCTTGATCATTCCCTGCCGGCATGGACATTGTGATCAATGAAGCTATAGTCCAACACTTTTGGAAGGCCTCAAGCTGGGAAGGACACTCAAAAAGGTTCCCCACCATGCTATGCTGTGCTATGCTGTGCTATGCTATGCTGTGCTGTGCTGTGCTATGCTATGCTATGCTATGCTATGCTATGCTATGCTATGCTATGCTATGCTATTTTGCAGACAAAACCCCAACACCACTCTTTCCAATCTGAATCTAGGTGGCATGGAAGGTGACACCATTTTCACTGTAAAGTGTTCAACTTGCCAGCTTCACAATTTTCCCCCCTTTAACTTGTGAGAAATAAATATAAGGAGAGCCAGGGAGTCTTGTGAAGAGAGTGTTTGTGGGCACACTGGTGCCAATAACATGGACACTGGCATGAGGGAGAGCTTTTGAATTGGTTAATTATTTCTTACGCTACGCTCAAAACACAGCTTCAGTTGCATCTTTAGATATTCCTTCTCCTCCTTTATTTCACTTCTATACCTCCCATAGATGAAGCTCTCTGGGCAGTTTACAACAAAGTATAAAAACAATATCTAATGTTAACCCTCCTGAAAAGTTAAATGTTTGGAAGCCATTTCAGAAACACTCAAAAGAACCAAATTAAACAGTTCCAAATATGTTTCATTTCTACAGATAGGGCAGAAAGATTAACAGTGGAGAACAGTAAGTGCCTCACATCCTTCTTCGTGAAGGGCTTGATGACTCTGCAATGTTGCCATTAGCTTATAACCCATGACGAACTCTTAATGTCTAAGCTTTAAATTGAATTTCTTAGAACTGGACTCTTATCAAGAGAGATTCATAACTTCATGAATGAAAAGGCTAAGCCTCATTCCCATTTTAGAAAATTGATTTTACCATTTCAAGCATTTATTGATGCTGCTAAAGTATGCAGAAGTAAATTTCTTTGTTTCTTTGGCATAGAAACTTCATAGAGGTAAAAGAAAACCCAGAAGCACAGAGTGGGCATAAGCAATACAAAGCTAAGCATGCAGGCAAATCAGGGAAGACTGTTGTGCTTTAATTTAGCCCCAGACTTGGACAGATTCTTCAAACTCGGTTACTATCCTGCCACTAGGGAGTAATGTACTCCTAAATAAACATTTTATACTTTAGCAGCTTACACCATCTCATTTGGATGGTATGCACTCTTTATATGCTGCCTTCTATCTCAGGGAAAGGGATACATTATTTTGAAACATTTGAGGACTAGTGAGAACAGAAGTTCTCAGGTTCTTCTACAACAGGAATTTCAGCAGTACACCATAACCAAGTTGGTTGTGTTTGCTGCACACAAAATATCTCAGCAATACCCAGCGCAACTCTTCTGGCCTTCATTTCCTTGGACTGTTGCACAGGGAGTAACCTCAGTATATTTATAGAGCTGGAGTGTGTTTTAGGCTAATGGAACATATAATTAATTTTGTCAATAGCTGCAAAGAGAGCATTGTGGAAGAAGGAAAGCATAATATGAGAATCTGGGCTCAAGCAGGGCTTTAAAAAATAAAACTTGACAGCAGTGGCACGAAAAGAAAGCCCCTTACCAATTCATCTGCTTTTTCCTGATCTACACCCCACTCCTAAAGCTGCTGTTAGCCCTGCTTTGGAGAAGGACGAAGTACCAGCACAGTACACGTACCTATTTTTCTCCCCTGTAAAAATGCAATAACATCATTTAGACATGAGAAATTGCATGGGGTAACTGAAAAATCTGCCCACCCATCAGCACTGATCTGATCAAAGTCAGAGCACCTCATGTTCACGTTTGTTTGTTTGTAAGATACTGGAAGCTATGGACTTCTCTTGAATCACTCCACTGGTTTCCCAAATGTCCCATTAGAATGTATGAACTATGGTCCCAGCTACATGCCTTTCTGTGGACTTGTTTGCATTATTCTAGTTATAGTCTATGTGCTCAGCGGTAAATCCATGGGACATACTGCCAGGAAAGTGTGTTGCTGTACCCTTGATTAGTTTTAACATTAAAAACATAGTGCTGCTCCACTTCTGCTATGAAGATCCTATC